CTCCACAGTTGCCGGCACAAAGCAAAAAAGCACCTTCATGGGTATGTTCTACCTAACCATTGCAGGAGCCAGACCTCTTGGCGCTCTTATTTCTTCTGCAATTAATGTTGACGCGTCTTCTGTCCCTTCTTTAGAAATTTTTGCGGCCCCTCTCTTTTCTGTGGGCGTATATTCTATCCTTTTTGGATCTGCCATTTGGGGAAGTGCCAAAATTGTGCGATTTTATCAATCAAAATACGTCCTGCCACAAGAATAAGGCATAAACATGAACTTAGAAAAATTAAAAATTTTCTATCAAGTTGCTTGTGCTGAAAACTTACAACAGGCTTCTGAAGAGCTCCACAAAACCAAATCGGCGCTGAGTAAAAGCATTACTTCTTTTGAAGAAGAATTAGACGAAAAACTATTCCACAGAACTCACAAAGGCCTACAACTCACCAAAGCAGGTAGAACCCTTTTTGGCCTTGCCAAGTAACTGATCAAAAGCGTTGATCAAACGCAAGAGATGCTGGAAAAAGAGAAAAACGAAGAAAGTGGTAAATTAGAAATAATTGCCCCTACCGGCTTTTCCTCTGTTTACCTTCCCGACATGGTTTTAGACTTTATGCAGAAATATCCTAAGGTAATCTGCAATATTCATCCCCCTAAGAGCAAAAAAATTAGCCACCTTCTAGCGGGAGATATCTTATTAAACCCACCCCTAGAAGGGCTATCAGGTTACAAACAAATCCCCCTTGTATAACAGCTGGTTTAAAACTTTATGCATCGCGCGAGTACTTAGAGAAGAATGGGCAACCAAAAGACTTAACCGACCTTCAAAAACATAAGCTCATTGGATATAGTGGAAACACTCCACATCTAGAAAGGCACCTAAACTGGTTTGCTTATTCTGGAAATTTAACTCTAAAAGTTGATGAAACATTTGGAAGATGCCGTGCCGCCGGGAAAGGTCTTGGAATTATTAGCGTCCCAAACATACATCCCCAAATCAAAGAATATAACCTCGTAGAAATCCTCCCTGAAATAGAAGGGCCAAAGATCCCTTATCATATTATTATTGATTCTTCGCTTCTTTCAGTTGCACGAGTCAAAGCCTTTGTCGATACCCTTCTTTCGCATTTTAAATCGCTATCTTAGCCTCTTCTAAGCTATAGGGCGCAAACTGCTTCATCACCTGAAAATCATTTTTAAGGTTTGCGTAATCTTTATTTGAAACAATTGCAAACCCGGCACGATCCACTGTCCAACGGGAGTTATTAATACGTTGCCCTGGCTGTACATACCACTTAAATTCCACAATTTTGCTCTTAAGTTTTGGCATAAACAATCGCGCAACTATCCCCTTCTTCTTAGGAAACATACACCAAAAATGAGGTTCCCTATTTTGATATTCCATTTTAATCTTTATGCCTGCTTCTGCTAGAAGAGAGAGATTCAAAAGGTTTATTCCAAACATCTTTTTATATATGAGAGGCACAAAAGACCTAGGAGGCTTTGGTCCTGACTCCAAGAAAACGATCTCATTACCTAGTGTTACAAAAACTTCATGATGGCTACATCCATCCAAAAGACTCAAAATGTTATTTGCCTTTTGGCAGAAGTGAATAATTTTTTCTCTTAAGGGGTCTTCTTTTTGCAAAGGCATACTGCCATGATTTTTCCCCTTCACAAAAGAGAGTCCATTAAATGTATACTCACAGGCCTCTGAAAAAAGATATTTGCCTTCTTGACAAAAAAGATCACAGTGATAGAGCTGTCCTTCTATATATTCTTCTAAAATAAATTCCTGGTAATGGTCATTACACTGAAAATAGTGTTTTAATTCCTCCATCGAGGATATCTTCGCAACACCAATTGTTCCATAAAGATCGCGAGGTTTGATGATAAAAGGAATACCCAACCTTTCTTGTGCATCTTTAAAAACAATTTCTGCTTTTTCGACAGGGTTTAAAATATTCAGAGCGAAATATTGAGGGATGGGAATCCCTGCTTTCTGCAAAAGTTCTTTTTGCAAGAATTTGTTCGTGTAATTTTCAACAACTTCTGGATAAACCCCCGGAAGAGAAAAGGCCTTCCTGACTTTTGCAGCAAGCGTCGCATTAAAATCTTCTGAACAAATAATTCTAAACTCTTTTTCTTCCTTTACTTTTTTTGCAACAATTTCCATCACCTCTTTTTCTGGAAGAGTCCTGGAAAACTGTACATTTTGAGCCTCTTTAGATTTTGGAGAAGGTAATATATAAAATTTGTCTATATGTCTTATTGTTTTTTCTGATAGAGTATTGTAGTAGTCCTGGTAAACAATACATTCAATCTTTGAGGAAAAGGAGGACCGTAATTGATCAAAGTCATAAAGATCGAGTGAAATGTTATTTAATAAAAGTAGGGAGGGTTGCATTTGAACGAACGCCGGTAGTTTCCTATTGGAGATTTCAGATGGAGAACCCAAAAATCATTGTTTGCACAACACCTTCAGATTCTCATATGTGGAATCTTGTCATCTTGGATCTTTTTTTGCAAGAAAAAGACTTTAATGTTTTAAATTTAGGATCAAACACGCCTTTTAAAGCGGTTTTGGAGTCGCTAGACACCTTTTGCCCAGACCTTGTGATCGTGTCTTCCCTCAATGGCCATCTTCTTCAAGATGGTGTTGAAATGATGCGATACATCCAGTCGCACAAAGGTTACGTCCCATGCTCTTTTGTCGCAGGAGGACGTGCCTCAACTGATCCTAAAAATATGTTATTTATTTCAAAGAAGCTAAAATCTTATGGCTTTGAAGAAACTTTTTTTGACAAAAATGCTTTAGAATCTTTAAATCACTATCTTTTTCAAAAATTCTCGCAAAAAAAACTTGTCCATGCTGTCTAGGTTTTTAGAAACGCAAAACGTACTCTATGTGCAACCACGCATGGGAGTTTCCTGTATCCACGAGATGCATCGTCGCTTGTCCATACTAAAGAATTCGGGGTTACCGATTATTCGCACCCTAACATTAGATAGTTACAGCCGTGTAGGACAGTTTTAAGAGCTTCAAAAAGCTTTTCAAAACAGAATGCCTATCAACGGATTCCCGATTACAATATACACCCCCTCAGAAATCAGAGAAGAAATACTCTCTCTACAATCGGATTCTTTTTTCATTCAAGTCCGCCACGGTACGCCACACCCTGAAACATTATTCAACCATATGCTGAAATGCGGGTTATACCTCACAGAAGGTGGTCCCGTATCCTATTGCTTCCCCTATGGGCGTATCCCACTTAGGGATTCTATACACTCTTGGAAAAAGGCTTGTTTAAAGCTTTCAGAGGCTAGAGAAAACGTGCACCTTGAAAGCTTTGCAGGATGCATGATGGGACAAATGGGTCACCCTACAATCTTAATCGCACTTTCGATCTTAGAAGGGTTGTTTTTCTCTCAAACGGGTATCTACGACATTTCTTTAAGCTAAACTCAAGGGTACAGCTTACGGCAAGACCTTGCTGCAGTCTCTGCCCTAAAAGAACTCGCTAAGACCTATTTCCCACCAAACGTAAAGTGGCATGTTGTGGTATACACATTTATGGGGCTCTACCCCCAGACACAGCACGGCCACGAAGCTATTTTAAGAGAAAGCGTGCAGCTTGCGCACCAATCAGGTGCCAAAAGATTAATCGTCAAAACAGCTGAAGAATCTACAAAAATCCCCTCTTTTGAAGAAAACTTTGCCGCCCTTACCTTTGCCGCAAATCAAAAAAGCTTTTTTGAAACCCCAGAATTCGATACAGAAGAAAAAGAAAAGCTAATCTTCCAAGCAAGCCAAATCATCGAATCTGTCCTTCATTTAGATCAAGACATTGGAAATTGCATTTTAAAGGGATTTCAAAAAGGGCTTTTAGATGTTCCTTTTTGCCTCCATCCAGATAATCCCAATCAAACAACAACTTACCTTGATAAACACGGATATGTTTGTTGGGGACGTACAGGTAACTTAGCCCTGCCACCAGTCAAAGCAGAAAGGAAATTAACGTCATCTGAACTTATCAACTCTCTTTCTTTCAATCGAAATCGGTTCGAGAAAAATGTTTAAAAAACGACCAAAGCCTTTATCACCCTTTCATTCGAAATAGGGTTGAAAAAAATTCAACTAGGTTGAAAAATTACCAATTGCCACAAATAGCGACAAAGATTATTTGTTAGTTAGAAAGTCAAACAGGTTAGTGCTTGAAAAAAGAAACAAGAATTAACTTGAAAAGGAGACAGTGGACAAAAATGCAACCCTCCCAATCCACTGACTTCTTAAAAAGCTTTTTGGTCACAAACCTTTGGGGATCTAAGTCTTCAAAGATCAGAAATTCCTTGGATTATTTATTTCAAGGACAAGGCCGCCAAAAGAAGGATCGTTCCCCCCGGTTCTGATCCTTCTTTAACGGCGCCCATACAAAGAGTCCTTCCCGCTCTTTGTATCTTCCCTAGACCCTTGAACCAGATCTTACTTGGATCCGGCTACTTTTTAACTCATAAGCAAATTTTTTTCAACAAAAATTTTAAATGGCAAAACAATAAATAAAATTTTTAGACGCTTAAAGCCTTTCCTTGCCGAAAAACGCTCTTTAAAAAAACGTTCTTCTGAATAAAAAAATAAAGTAAAAATTATAAAATTTATATACTTGATCACACCATACATTCTACAAAAACCAAAAACTCAACGAATTTAGCATAGCTCACACGCCCATAAATCCTTCCCTCTACAAATAATCTTCCAAAATTCACCGCGTTTTGTTCTTTTTCATAGACTTAACAAAAAAAATCTAATAATAGCTTTTGTCTAATGAAATGCCTTTAAAGGGGAGAGAAATGAATTTCATATATAAAAATACAAGATATCTTTTGCTAACATTTGGGGTGTTTTTAACCTTCTGCCCCCCAGTTCTGGCTTCAAACCAACAGGAAATTAATACCGTCCTTATTGAAGCAATGGGTAATAACCTCAATCTCGCACGGACAGCCTATTTAAAGTCCACATACTATGCGCCAAACAATGAGATCCGCAATAAAGTGATCGAACAAGTAAAAACTTTTGGCTTAGACAAAAGATGGTCAGATCTTCTTATTTCCAGCGTGGTTCCAGAATCTATCCCATTCCGTGGCACACCAACTTATGCCGCGTTAGATTTTAGTGGATTTTCAAAAGGAGCGAAAAAAGCTTTTATTACATTTACTGGAAAAATCTATCAGGAGTTGAATGCGTGGGTCGAATCAGAGCGCACAAAATGGATGAAACGATATGTAAGAAGTGAACCTGTGATCATCCGAAATACTGCTGTTGATTCAGATCACTGGCAACGCACAGATCACTAAAAATTATTTTAGAAAACGCATTATTAAAAGGCCTCCTTCTAGGTGGCTTTTTTTTTGAAAATCTCAAAATCTAAATAAAAAATTTACTCTTTCCCCTGAATAAAGAAATCTATTTCTTTATTCAGGCCGGGAGAGATGAAATGTTTTTCTCTAAAGCATTCGGAATACATCTGACCATTCTTGGTTTATTTTGCATAATGAACACTGACCTCTTTGCGACCAATACTGAGGAAGAGGATATTACTTATACAGATTATGCGAGGAACAACCTCCACTATGCTCGCCAACACTATTTAGAAGCTTTACGTTATGGAACCTCTTCACAAATCAATGATATCGTAGAGAACACAATCAAAGACTTTCACCTTGCAGAAGAAATATGGGTTGAGCTTTTACAAAATAGCTTCAAGCCAGTACATTATTATAGAGAACCAACTTATATAGACCTAGACTTTAATACTTTCTCAAAGGGGGCTAAAAAAGCTTTCATAAACTTTTCAGCAAGCATCTCTCACGCATTAAGGCAGTGGACACAGTTCGAAAAAGACAAAATCACGAGAAGAAAATTTTTATTTAAAGGGAACCCCATTGAAAACACTGCAGACGACGCAGATGATTAGCGCTCTCGTCGTTGATCCCCTTTCTAGATTTTCTTCTTTAAACAATCTCTAGGCCAAAGAGACGTTGCTTTCTAAAAATAAATGTGCATTTTTAAAAGTCTATGAAGACATTTACCCTATCTAACCTCCTAAAAAATCACCCAAATTCTGCTGTCACTCTTTTTTGGGTGGAGCTTTGGAGTGCCTTTGCAAGGCATGGTTTACGTAGCCTATTTGTTCTTTATGTAACCTCAGAGTTGTTGTTCAAAGATTCTGATGCTTATTTTCTCTATGGAACCTTCGGGTCTTTAATGTTCTTAACTCCACTCCTGGGAGGAATTTTAGCAGACAGATACCTAGGAGCCGCACACGTTGTGATCCTTGGATGCCTCACAATGCTTGCAGGGGTTTTATGTCTGTTGTTAGAACCTTTATTCTACACAGCCCTTGCCTTAATTATTCTAGGGTATGGCTTTATTAAAACCAATGTTTCCAGCCTTTTAGGCCAAATGTACCCAACCAAACAAAAACAAGAAAGGGAAACAGGCTATGGATACATGTACGTATGCACCAATATAGGCGCTCTGTCTGCCCCCATGATCTGTGGTTTTTTTGGCGAAACGTATGGTTGGAACTACGGTTTTTTAATCATGGCTCTTGCTCTTACCCTTTCAACAGTGCTGTTTCTAAAATCGTTTTCCCACTTCCATGATTTTTCTCACACCTTTAAATGGCGTAAGTCCTTCACCATCTATAGCCTCCTTTTAAGCGCTATCTTTGGCATCACCCTCTTTTTAGAACATGCCCAATGGATGGATTTTTATGGTCTCTTCCTTTTATTTATACTGACAAGCCCCATGGTCTACATCGCTTTTCGCTGCGAAGGGGAAGAAAGAGCTGCAATCCTTCAAATTATTCTTGTATTTGCTGTCTCAATTCTTGTCACAGCATTGGGCGAACAATCAGGAAGTTCTCTGAATCTTTTTGTAAACCGTTTTGTGGATCGAAACTTTGCAGGCTACACCATCCCCACAAGTTGGTTCATGACTCTAAACCCTATCTTTGTTGTCTTGTTAAGCACCCTCATCGCCCAATTCTGGAAAACACTGTTAAAGAAACAGATCCGACTAACGCTTTTGCAAAAAATGACCCTTGGAGTGGGGATTCAAGGCAGCGGCTTTTACCTCTTTTCTTTAGGAGGCGATATGGCCTTACATGGTCTCATTTCTCCTCTTTGGATTGTAAGTGGGTATTTCTTAGATGCCTTTGGAGAGCTTCTTGTCTTTCCCATTGGAACCGCTTTCGTTTCTCAATACGCCCCAAAGCGTTACACCCATACCTTAATGGGACTCTTTTTTGTCGCCACTGCCTTCGGGTTTTACCTTGGCTCCCTTATCGCAACAGAATGTGCGTCTCCAGATTCTAGCGCCGAAGTTCTCTATTCAACAGAATGTATTGCGCTTTATGGTCAAACTTTTTTCAAAATTGCCTTATTCTCTTGCTCCCTCTCTTTAGGACTTGGCGCTTTTCTTGCCGTAAAACATTTCTTCTACACACACACAAAGTGAATCAAAACTTAATTTTTTTATTTGAAGTTCTTTGGATTGTACCCCTTTCTTTAGTTACAAAACAAATGGAACTTTGTTCATAAAACCATTGACTTAAAGGTATCTTTACCTCAAGGTTTTGGACGTTTTGGTATTTTTCACAAAGGGTTATATCAATGAAAATAAAATCCACCCTCTTAGCAACAGCCCTCATATCTCTTATTGTGGCACCTTGGTGTCATGCTTCCAGCTCTGACTCTGATGATGAGCTTCCATATTCCAAAGAACCAGGACATGTTTTAAACCATTTAAACAAGTTCAGAACCAAGTACGTTCAAGCTAAACCAAGTCTCCTAAAATCTTCCTTAGAAGAGGTGTATGTTAATTCCCTTGAGACAATAAATGAGTCTTTGTACGTTGACCCTGATACCGGCATCGAGACAACGCTAACGTGGGGAGATTTTCAAACACTCGCCTGGGCATATTGGGAAGATATAAAAGAAATTATGGATTACTACCAAGAAAAATACCCTCAATACTCTGAAAGCATGTCATCTTCTGACAACGATTTCGAAGAGATAACTGAAACGCCCCGTCGTATACAATGTCGTCTAAACAAATTTAAAATCACTTACGAAAAATCAAAGATGAGTATCCTTAACTCTTCTTTGGAACAAGAAGAAATAGACACGTTAGATGTGATGTATGAGTGTGTAACATCTGGAGTCCCTCCATCCCAAGAACAAGCAGCAAAGTTCGCCTGGCCTACATTAGAAGCCATTGAAGATATCATGAATACATATCGCCAAAAGTATCCTCAGGACCATTCTTCCGACTCATATGACGACCTTAAAAGAATGTGCGCAACCAATGATATAGTAGAATAAATCTTTTTTAAGCTGCCTTTTTCTTGAATCTTTCAGATTTGGATCGATTTAGCTTAAACTTTTTCTTCCCCGAAAAAGGCTTTTTCTTCTTTCCTGAAAAGGCCCTTTGGCGCTTCTCTCCAGGAGATTTTTTCTGTCCCCCTTCAAGAGATCTTTTTTTGCTACGAAAAGGCTTATGAGAGTTTTTTGATTTTTTCTTTTGGTCAGAAGGCTTTGCCTTCCCCTCTTCTAATTGTGAGGTTTCTAGGGGTTCTTCAGCAGTATTCGGCCCCATCAAACGTTCGATCGCTTTCCATTTTTTCTTGTCAGCAGGGGACAGAAAACAAACTGCTTTTCCCTCACGGCCCGCTCTGGCTGTGCGACCAATACGGTGAATATAATCTTCTGGGCACTGAGGAAGGTCATAATTAACAACGTGCTCAATATGGGGAATATCCAATCCGCGTGAAGCGACATCTGTTGCAACCAGCACACGAAATTTCCCTTTACGAAAGGACGCTGTCACCCGATCTCGTTTATTCTGGCGCAAATCTCCATGCAAAGCATCCGCACGGTGTCCTGCCTTAGACAATTTAACAGCCATCTTTGCGGAACCATATTTTGTCTTAGAAAAAACAATCACAGACCCTTCAGACGATTCTAGATATTCTAAAAACTTCTGATATTTTTCTGCTTCTGACACGCGAGTAATTTCTTGTTGTATATTTTTAGCAGGTTCTGTTGTTGACCCCACAGAAATACGTTCTGGATCTTCCAAGTACCTTTTTGAGAGACGAATGATGTTTTTGGGTAATGTTGCAGAAAATAAAAGTGTTTGCCGTTTAGAAGACAAGTGTTTAGGCACTTGATCAATTTGAATAGAAAAGCCCATATCCAACATTCGATCTGTTTCATCCAGAACAAGAAATTCACAATCGTTCAAATTCAAACGACCGCGTTCCAAGTGGTCGTTAATGCGACCAGGCGTTCCGACAATCAAACGAGGTTTTTGATCCAACTGACGAAACTGTTTTGGCATCGGTTCACCAACGATTAACAAGGCTGTTTTGATACCAGACCCTTTGCCAAGAATATCCCTGATTTGACCAAACACTTGAACCGCAAGCTCTTGGGTTGGTGTTATGATCAAAGCAGATCCCTTAGGAGATTGGAGCAATTTGGCAACAATCGGAATTCCAAAGGCTGCTGTTTTTCCTGTGCCTGTTTGAGCTGATCCCAAAATATCTTTACCATCCAATGCAATCGGAATCACAGCTGATTGAATGGGCGTTGGTTTTTCAAACTGCATCGCCGCCAAAGATTTTTCCAATTTGGCAGACAGCTTAAATGCATCAAAACGATCCATGATTTTTTCCTTGTGGTAGGGGAACAGATGCACCTGCCTCCCTACCACAGGTTTAATCTATAACGTTAGTGTGCTATAGCGTAATTAATTAGTGATGGCGTTAGAAATGAGCAAAGAAGCCTATTAAAACATAGGTGATGCGCGAATGACGACACGCCATCGTCCAAGTAAATGCGCTATAAAAGGATCTAGGCTTCCAAAAGCTTCAATTCAGCTGCAGAAGTTTTTCCTCGATTATCTTCAAGGTCGTAGCTTAGCTTTTGGCCTTCGTTCAATTGAGCAATGCCTGCTTTTTCAACAGCACTAATATGAACAAAAACGTCTGCTGAGCCATCTTCTGGTTGAATAAATCCATAACCTTTAACAGGGTTAAACCATTTTACTGTTCCGTTTGCCATCAGTATCTCCTCTGGGCTTATCGTCTATATCCTCCACAAAGGAGGAAAACTATTTAAAATACCTTCTGCACCATACAGAAAGCGGGCACTCTTATTGAAAGCCGAAGATCAAAGATCGCAATACTCATTTCAAAAACGAGCAAAAAATGACTCAAAAAACATAAAGAGCGTTAAGATTTTACGAGATAGTGCTTAAAAGCGCAATATGCAAGTCTTTTTAAGTTTTTAATGGATCATGAATAAAACTCTATTTTTTCCTCCGTGCAAGCTCCTTTCCATTCAATCACCTAAACGACGATAAAAACTTTTTAATGTATAAGACTTATGTGTACCTGACACACAAGTCAGGGTGCTAAACCGCTCTTGTTCTGGCAGAAAGAAAAAGTGTTGATAAATATCCTGCCCACAATAATGCGTATCG